CTATAGTTGAAATGATAAACCAGAAAAATAAAATACCTCTTTGCTCGTAAATTTTTTGTTTTGTTCTTGATTTATTTCTGAGAATGAAGTTTACAGTGTCTTTTTGCAAGGATTTCTGAATCCTATTTATATTATATTTGTTTGGGTTAAATACCCAGTTACAACCAAATAAAAAACATTCCACTTCCTTGTGTTCTGTTTTTACAGGTGAGTGGGGAGTTGGTGGTCGTGTTGGAGCATATGGGTGTGGAGCTTGCTTGGAATTTGTGGAGGTATGGGCGTGGATGGCTTGGAATCTGTGGAGGAGACATAGCATAGTGGTGGGATGTTGGTGTGTAATAACAAAGTATGGGAAAAAATAGAGTGCTTCACGTGGGGCATGGGGAGGGTCTAGTGGAGAATGGGCACTAGCATGGGTTTTAATTAAAATAAGAAAATGGTGATCACAGCTGCTCCTCTTTGCTCATTGATGTGAAACGGGAATGAAGCAAAGATAAAATAGCGCCATTTTTTATCTTGGTCTCTTCTCTTCAAGTCGCGGGTTCTTCTGGAAATGTTGATCTAAGGTTGAACAAGTTCTTCTCATTATGAACTTCTTCTCTATGAACTTCTTCTCCCTCGTTGGACGAGTTCTTCTCATTATGAACTTCTTCACTGGAAATGTTGATCCCTCGAGTGAGGTGTTGCTGATTCAACTCCATATGCGATAAATCGAGATAAGGTTGAACAAGTTCTTCTCATTATGAACTTCTTCTCCTTCGTCGGATGAGTTCTTCTCATTATGAACTCTCCACTGGAAATGTTGATCCCTCGAGTGAGGTGTTGCTGATTCAACTCCATATGCGATGAATCGAGCTAAGGTTGAACAAGTTCTTCTCATTATGAACTTCTTCTCCCTCGTCAGATTAGTTCTTCTCATTATGAACTCTCCACTGGAAATGTTGATCCATCGAGTGAGGTGTTGCTGATTCAACTCCATATGTGATGAATCGAGCTAAGGTTGAACAAGTTCTTCTCATTATGAACTTCTTCTCCCTCTTCGGATGAGCTCTTCTCATTATGAACTCTCCACTGGAAATGTTGATCCCTCGAGTGAGGTGTTGTTGATTCAACTCCATATGTGATGAATCAAGCTAAGGTTGAACAAGTTCTTCTCATTATGAGCTTCTTCTCCCTCGTCGGATGAGTTCTTCTCATTATGAACTCTCCACTGTAAATGTTGATCCCTCGAGTGAGGTGTTGCTGATTCAACTCCATATATGATGAATCGAGCTAAGGTTGAACAAGTTCTTCTCATTATGAACTTCTTCTCCCTCGTTGGATGAGTTCTTCTCATTATGAACTCTCCACTGGAAATGATGAACCAAGGTTGAACAAGTTCTTCTCATTATGAACTTCTTCTCCCTCATCGGATGAGTTCTTCTCATTATGAAATCTCCACTGGAAATGTTGATCCCTCGAGTGAGGTGTTGTTGATTCAACTCCATATGTGATGAATCGAGCTAAGGTTGAACAAGTTATTCTCATTATGATCTTTTTCTCCCTCGTCGGATGAGTTCTTCTCATTATGAACTCTCTACTGGAAATGTTGATCGGTTCCCTTTGAAGATCTTCTAACCTGCAAAAGATTATCATGTGTCAGTAATAACTGTGTTTGAAGTACCCGAAGGTACTGACCTGAAGGTTCCCGAATCCTTGTTGAGATCCATTTTTTTTTCAAAAATGAAGACGTGAATCGATTCTTTGCTGAAATCTTCTTCTTCAATTGTGAAATGAAACCTCTGCTAACTTTGGAATTCATGTCAAATATTCAACATCTGGATCAAAATAAATAAGAAAAGTGTTTTAAGAGAAGCTATCTTGAGTGAGATAAAATTTCTTGTTCCGAGGGAACCAAATTCAAATATTGATGTTTCAAGGGAAATTATCTCAAGGGAGACAAAATTTGTTTCAAATGAAGCGATCTCAAAGATTTGAGGGAAATTGTTTCAAGAGATACGAAATTTGTTTCAAGAGAAACTACCTCAAGGGAGACGAAATTCGTGTTTTTTTAGAGAAAACAATCTCAAGTGAGATTGATTTTGTTTTAAGGAAAATCGTCTCCAGCGAAACAAAATTTATTCTTAGGAAAAATATCTCATGATCCGTCTACTAGAAATGTTTGTCTCACGAGTGAGGCGTTTGATTCGAAATGTAATGCTTTGCACAAAAGGAAATGTTGAAAACACCTTGCCCGAAGGTCTTATGGATGGCTCGAAAGACTTATAGATGGCCCGAAGGACTTACGCATCATGCTCGAAAGACTTATTGATGGCCTGAAGGACTTACTCACCAAGAAACCCTTGAAAATCAAGCTTAGTTTCTTAGTTGTCAAGGAAGCCCTAAAAAATAGGCTTAACTTCCTTTTTTGAAAAACTCTTTGGAAATAATCCTCAAGAAACCCCTGAAAATCAGGCTTAGTTTCTAAAAACTCATTTGAAAACATCCTGCCCGAAGGACTTACAAATCAAGAAACCTCCGAAGGCTTAGTTTCTAAAATCTCATTTGAAAACATCCTGCACTGAAGGTCTTATGGATGGCCCGGCAGACTTACAAATCAAGAAACCCCCGAAGGCTTAGTTTCTAAAATCTCATATGAAAACATCATGCACTAAAGGTCTTATGGATGGCCTGAAGGACTTACAAATCAAGAAACCCCCGAAGGCTTAGTTTCTTAAATCCCATTTGAAAACATCTTGCACTGAAGGTCCTATAAATAGCCCAAAGGACTTACAAATCAAGAAACCCCCGAAGGCTTAGTTTCTAAAATCTCATATGAAAACATCATGCACTGAAGGTCTTATGGATGGCTCGAAGTACTTACAAATCAAGAAACCCCCGAAGGCTTAGTTTCTTAAATCTCATTTGAAAACATCATGCATTGAAGGTCTTATAGATGGCCCGAAGGACTTACGCATCATGCTCAAGAGACTTACTGATGGCCCGAAGGACTTAATCATTAAGAAACTCTTGAAAATCAAGCTCAGTTTCTTAGTTGTCACCAAGAAACCCCTACATATCATGTTGGTCCCTCAAGTGTTCATCAAAGAACCCCTACATATCACGGTGGTCCCTCAAGCTTGGTTTTTTTTTATAAAAATTCATTGAAAATTGTCATCAAGAAACCCCTGAAAATCAGGCTTAGTTTCTTAAAAAAAATCTTTTAAAAATATCATGTTGTTTGGGTAATGTGGCCCCACATCAAAGTAATAATTCATCTTGGATTGGGCTCCTCAATTCTTGAGGTTCTGTCAATCGAAATATAATTTCCTTCATTCAAGGCTTGAATTCCGTCTTTTTCTTCTCTTCTTTTCTTGGAAAATCTGTAAAAAAATTTGATTTGATGCATGAAATATGAATGCAACATGTAATGCATGGCTTTCTTATGTGCAGAAATATCTATCAGTAATCATCTTTTGCTTCAAAATGGAGATCTCGGTCTTCCTTCTCTCTTGTATGAAGTTTTTCCCTAACATCAGCATGGTCAAACTAATCCTCTGAACAATCATATCCCTCTCATCTATGGTGGCAAGAAAGTGAGAAAACCCAGATTGCTTTCATGAAGAACATGGATTCTGATATGGTGGCAAGAAACAAAGATAAATGTTTGTGTGATAAATCTTTATCTATTAGGTGTTCTTCCACCCACCAAAGCATTGATGCTCTTGTCGTTCCAATAAGTATTCTAAATAGTTGTAAGGAGGATTCAGGCTTGGGAACCTTGGGTCAGGACTTTTCTTCAATTCCAGGTGCACAAGGAATGCATCAAGAAGAGCAAGATCAAGTGAACATGATAGCATCATCTGCATCTTATGGTTTTAATGGTCAGATTCCTTTTCCATTAAATTTAGCTGCAGGTCACTTACCTTTTCATAGCCATTCTCAATCAATGGGATACAATCAGAGAAATTTGGGTGGATTTATTCCTACAGATATTCAAATGTTTCCCCAAGGATTGGTCCCTTCTCCTTTGGCTCATTATTTTTCAGGCATTGGATTAGCCTCAAATGCTGAGGATCTAGTTAAGCCTGGCAGTGAAAATTGTGGTTTTTCAGAAATGTGCCTAAGGGAAGCAGAACTTGAGTTACAACATGAACATGATAATTCTACAAAAATAAAACACAAGTTTTCTGAAGAAACTCAAGGATCAACTAGGGAAGATTATATAGATGTTTACCGATATCAAGATAACCGAGGCGTTGATGTTTACTTCAACGAAAGAACTGCAAGTTCTAGACCCTTAGTTGCTTCACATACTAGTTCTTACAGAAATATAACCTCGTCAGAAAGTTCTTGGGAAGGGCCACCAGCTAAGGTCTCTAAGCCATCTAGCGAGAAACGGGGTAGGAAAACAGTTGCGTCTGTGCTTCCTTCTGCTGCAAGTAGGAGAGGTAAGATCGTATCTGAACATTCCTCTCCGGCAGATGATATCAGAGACTGGAATCCACAGTCAATAGTGAGCACTGAAATGGCTGAAAGAACTATTGCACCTCAACCGTCTGGGTCTTTACCCGTTACTAGGCATCAAATACCTGGATCTGAGGCAGATCAGACAGATTGCTCAGATCCATTGCTACATGTGTCTTCGTTGCTCTTAGGTTCTGATTCAGGGCAAAAAACTATGGATGAATCTGAACTTTCTCCCTTGTCTTTCACAGTAACCGGGCACCAGTTCCATTTTTGTTCTGTCCTATGTACAACATTTCAGCAGAAACAGGAACTCCTGATGCATCCACAAGCCATTTTAGTTGTGATGAAGGTTCGGACAACAATGATTCTGGTCAAAATTCTAAGTCATCTGCAAGACCTAATCAGTCTGAGGTGTTATGTACATCTAGTTCTTTGAGAAAGGTTACATCTCTTGAGTCAGCAGAGCATAAATCTGATACTTTTAATGGTGATAATGCTAACCATTGGCAAAACTTGCAGTATGGATAGTTGTGCCAAGATTCACGATTTCCTACCCATCTGGTTTATCCCTCACCTGTTGTGGTGTCACCCGTTTATTCACAAGGCCATTTCCCATTAGATGGTCCCAGGAGACCTCTTCCATCTAATTTGAGTCTCTTTTCTCCATTAATGAATTGTGGACCTTGTACTTTTCCCGTTGCTCCTCCTCAAACTGTCTCAAACAGACCAGCTAGTGTATACAAACGGTATGCTGATGAAATGCCAAGAGACCGCAGTGGTACCATGACATACCTGCTAAATCCTGTAAGTCATAACAATCTGTAATGAGTTTTATTACCTTAAATTGATGCCCTTGAAAATTGCATTCCTTGGAGAACGTTGGTCACATGACCATCATTTGAGGTGCAATCTTCATAAGATGTTAACTACTTCGGTTTATCAGATATTTGAAAATATCTTAATGTCTCTTTTCTCTAGTTTCTGTAACTTTCTAACCTTGAGAATTACAGCCTTCAATAATTTTTTTTTCAATCTTTTCTACTTCAGAAAGCTTCAATGAGAGAACATCATTCTGCAAATTCAAGGAGGGGAAAACATAATTACAATCGAAATGGCCATCATAGTGATAAAGAAGGAAACCGGAATGCGCATTCAAAATCACGAGCTGCTGGGGCAGCCAAAGTCATAACCAGAATGGAAAATCAATGTTCAAGTTTGACCAATTGGGAGCTGTTGTTGGTGAAAGTACAGCTGAGAGAGGCCTTGTGGCTCACATAGGCACGATTCGTTTACGACATACCAGTCTCATAATGGATCAACCCGCTCAAACTCTTCACTGAGTAGTGCTGCTAGCATGCCATACGCCACGTGCCCACTGCCAGCCATGAACACCAGTGAGGTGTCATCTAATGGACCTTACATTCCATCTGTTGTCATGCTGTATCCTTATGATCATAATTCTGGGAATTCTTCCCCTGCTGAACTCCTCCAAATTGGATCACTTGGACCTCAGTGGGTTTATCAGGCATGAATGAAGTTTCTCCATCGCTGACAAGTGATGTGAGTAGCTAAGGTGGGATACTTGATGAGCCAATATTTCACGGTACCTCTGGTCAAACAGTTTTCACAGGACCAGTCTTCTTCACCGCTACTCTGTAGGTAAATTGTCTTCTTATTTGTCTGAGGTAGTTTGTTATTGAAAGCTGCCTGCCTGAAAAGTACCCTGCATCTAGGGTGCTGTCAGACTGTCTTTTCCAACTTGCTATAGAATTTTGATGTAGTAAGTTTTATGGCAACTTGAATAGAATTTTATTCCATTCGTTTTGGCCAGATTGTTTTATGATGCTATCATTTATTTTCAATTTACAGCCAGATCAGTGGCCAAGAAGAATTATGATCGAAGATGAGGATTCCCAACCCCATTTCCAATAATGGTTCCTCCAAAGATGGATCAACCATGTTTCTTGGCTTTGTGCTTCTATGTATACTATGAATTGATAGGAATTCATTTTCTTAAAGTGCCCTTTTTTTATTTTTTTGTTCTTTTTTGTTATAACAGATTAAAGTCGACAATAATGCGGGATTCGGAAGCTAGTTTTTTGTTCATTGGAGATACGATAAAAGTTAGGGTTCTTCACATTGTAACTCAAATGAGAGCTCCTTAGGATCACAACCGAGTTTATATCATTTTATAACTCGCAAAATGCAAAGGGTTTCCATTTTTGTTTTTAGAATTCCAGTTTCCTAGCTCTGTTGTTTCTTGTTGAAAGTTACACCAGTGTAACGATAACATTTTCATGGCAAGGGGGAAAAATAGAAATTGTGTTCATTGGTGTTGCATGCCATTGGCCAAGTTGTGTTCTTGACTACCATTTCAAGATCTCTCTTTACTTTAATTGAAGAACCTGCAGGATGAAAGATGATAATAATTACTTAATTATATGATGATATGCAAAAAAATATTTAAATATGTTCGGGAAAACGGGTTATTTCCCACACGAACGTAGTTTTAAAATTGACCTAAAATGTCAAGATTAAAACCACCAAAGGTTGCACAGCGGATAAACCTGTCAAACTATTGAATATTGAAACACAATGGAAAAGAACCGAATAAAAAACAATAAATGAGAGAACACACCAAATTTACGAGGTTCGACGAGAATATCGTCTACTCCTCGGGCACCACACCGGATGATAACTTCACTATATCGCCAATATTACAACAAATGGAATTCTTTAGAATTCTCAAGTGGAGAATGAAGAATACAAGAGGAAGAGAGAACTTGTTTTTGGGATGATTTCTAATGGAAATACTTAGGCCTATTTATAGTTGAGTTTCAAGAACAATATGTTCAAAGTTTGGCCACCTACCAAAGAATTTTCCAATGTGTACAAGTTAGCCACCAAATATGAAATTCACATGTTCAAAGTTTGGCCACCAACCAAGATGAAATTTCCAATAAGTTAGCCACCAACCAAGATGAAATTTCCAACTTGTCAACTTAATTTCTAGACAAATCTAACAAATCTCCACCTTGGCTTGAAATTATCAAGCCTACTCAACTTCTTCAACTCCCCAAATTTGTAGTGCCTCTAATTGCGCTCACAAGCGTCACACACCCGAAGGTGTTCATACTTTTAGGATGTTAATCAAGTTCAAACAATGATTGAACTTGATTACTGTTACCACCTTGGTCATCATATCTGCAGGATTTTCTGATGTCGCAATTTTCTGAAGTAGAATCTTTCCTTCTTAAAAGATCTCCCGCACAAAGTGATACCTCACGTCGATATGCTTAGTCCTTGAATGGTAGACTTGATTTTTCGCTAAGTGAATAGCGCTCTGACTATCACAATAGAGACTAATGTGACTTTGAACAACTCCCAAGTCTTCCATCAACCCGTTAAGCCAAATTGCTTCCTTTACAGCCTCTGAAACTGCCATGTATTCTGCCTCTGTAGTAGACAAGGCCACCGTAGATTGCAATGTAGACTTCCAACTAACTGGGGCTTTAGCAAGAGTAAACAAATACCAGTAGTTGATCGACGCTTATCCAAATCAAGCATAATCGGAAACTCCAACTGCTTGTGAAATGTCAGGACGCGTACACACCATTGCATACATCAAGCTCCCAACTGTATTAGCATATGGAAATTTTTCCATATACACTCGTTCTTCGTTAGTTTTAGGAGATAATTGAGAACTAAGTTTCAAATGAGAAGCCAATGGGATACTTACATGTTTGGTATTTTCATTCATGCCAAAACATTGTAATACCTTTCTCAGATACTGCTTCTTTGTTAAACAAAGCTTCCCTATCTGTCTATCTCTGCTTATCTCCATACCAAGAATCTTCTTGGCCTCACCTAGATCTTTCATCTCAACTCTTGATTCAACTGAGCCTTTAATTTGTCTATCTCCTTTGACTCTTCGAAGCGATCAACATATCGTCAACGTACAAGAGAAGATAAATGAAGATCCATCTTTGAGATTTTGCAAATACACACAATGATCATATTTGCTTCTAGTATACTTTTGCCTCCTCATAAGCTATCAAATCGCTTGTATCACTGCCTCGGAGATTGCTTCAATCCTATAGCGATTTTTTCAGCTTACAAACCCATTTCTCACAACCACCATCTTTGTATCCTTCTGGCTGTGTCATATAGATCTCCTCTTCTAAATCACCGTGCAAGAAAGTCGTATTTCTCAAGTTGAGCTAGCTCCAAATTCACTGTGCTACCAAGCCAATATATTCTAATGGATGAATGTTTCACAACAGGGGAAAATACTTTATTGTAGTCGATTCCCTCCTTTTGAGCGTAGCCTTTAGCTATCAACCGTGCCTTGTAGCGAACATCTTTCTTGTTATGAGATCCATCTTTCTTTACAAATACCCACTTGCATACAATGGCTCTTTTACCTTTCGGTAATTGTGCCAGTTTCCAAGTGTCGTTCTTTTGGAGAGATTGCATTTCTTCATCCATGGCACTTTTCCACTTATCACTTTCCAAGCTTTGTATTGCTTCTTGGTAAGTGATAGGGATATCATCATCAACAACTGGAAGAGCATAGGCCACCATATCAACAAATCGAGCAGGCCTACGAATTTCTCTCCTTGGCCTTGTAACTGCAAGTGTTTCTAGTGTCTCAAATGGTTCTTGGGTTTAAACATCTTCATCTTCTGATTCTTCTATTGGAGTTGAAGAATCAGCTGCATCAACTTCTGGGATCATCATCTGCTGAAACTCCACCTGTTTTGGAGTATGCTCCACCTGCTGCGGAGTACTACTTGTCTGGACAGCTTCACTTGTTACCTTCTTTACTAGGGAAGATTCATCAAAGGTAACATCTCTGCTACAAATTACCTTCTTGGTGTCTAAACACCAAAGGATGAATCCCTTCACTCCATGGGTGATTCCCATAAAGAGAGCCTTCTTTGCTCTCGGATCAAGCTTGGATTCTTTCACATGATAATAAGCAGTGGATCCAAATACATGTAAGGAATCATAATCAGTAGCAGGTTTTCCAGACCATACCTCCAATGGTGTTCTTCCTCCTATCGCTGATGACGGCAGACGATTAATGAGATGGCCAGCATATGTCACAGCCTCAGCCCAAAATGCCTTGCCTAACCCAGCATTAGACAACATACATCGGACTTTCTCCAATAGTGTTCGATTCATACGCTCTGCCACCCCATTCTGTTGTGGTATATTTCTAACAGTGAAGCAATACCATACTCATGGCAAACGTCAAAGAATGGGTCACTTTTATATTCCCCTCCATTGTCCGTCCTAAGACGTTTGATCTTTCTACCAGTCTGGTTCTCGATCATATTTTTCCATTTCAGGAAAATTTGAAGCACTTCATCTTTAGACTTCATCGGATACACCCAAACTCTTCTGGAAAAGTCATCTACAAAAGTTACAAAATAATGGTTTCCTCCCAAAGACGATGTCTTTGAAGGACCCATTCATCTGAGTGAATAATCTACAATACCTTTTGTATTATGTATAGTGGTGCCAAACTTCACTCTCTTCTGCTTTCCCAGAACACAATACTCGCAAAAGTTCAATTTGCAAGCCTTTGCACCTTTCAACAATCCTTTCTTTGCCAGAATTTGCAAGAATTTCTCTCCAGCATGTCCCAACCGCATATGCCACAACTGGGTTGCGTCCAAATCATCACCTCCAGAAGTTGTTGCAACTGCTCCAATAATTGTACTACCTTGGTAGTAATACAAATTATTTTTCCTGATGCCCTTCATCATCACAAGTGCGCCATATGTGACTTTTAAAACTTCATCTCTCATAGTGACTACTAAGCCTTTGGATTCTAAGGCTCCCAACGAGATGAGATTTTTCTTCAAACTGGGCACGTATCGAACATGCGTCAGAACTCTGGTTGATCCATCTTGATTCTTCAATCGAATTGAACCTATCCCAACAGTTTACAGGCATTGTCATTGCCCATATAAACAACTCTTGCATTTAGTTCCACTAAATCGGAGAACCACTCCCGATTAGGGGACATATGATAGGTGCAACCCGAATCTAATATCCACTCATCGGAATGGAATGTTGTTGATGAAGCAACCAATGATATGTCAGAGTCATGTGCATCATGCTCTGCAACACATGCATCTGGAGCAGCTTTTCCTTTCTTCTTCAGCCTCGGACAATCTTTCTTCCAATGGCCTTTCTCATGAAAAAAGGCACATTCATCTTTTCCCAGTCTGGACTTCGACTTTGATCTCCCTCTCCACTTTGGCTTTTGACTTTTCGAGCGACCTCTTGCCACCATGGCCTCTGCTGCTTCGTACTTGCTCTCCTTCTTGGTTTTCTTCCTGAGTTCATAACTATACAAAGCAGTTACATCTTTAAGGGTAACATTATCCTTACCATGAAGTAACGTTGTCTC